CAAGCCAAATTTATATATAGACTAGGCTTTTAGGGCGCTTCGCGCCCATCTTCTATTTAAATTGTGAACATGTTCTTTTTGTTTAAATTTTAAAACAAAGAAGAAAAAATTTCGCGGATTTTAAAAAAAAATTCGCAGATTTTCAAGAATTTAAATTTTTTTACAAAATTAAAAACCTTTCTAACTGCTCAAAGATTATTTCTCGATCTTCTATAGGGTAAAAACTTTCTTGTTTGCTCATCGTTGGTCCAATGTACTGAAAATAATCCACGAAATTGACTCTAAAACCGGTTTTTTGAACGAACATTTAACTGGTAGTTCTGACGTACAGATAGTTCTGAATATCTTGGCTTTCAGAAACTGATTTGTAAGATAAACCGAAGATAATCCGAAGTTCAAAAATTTGGATATTAAGTTTATTTTCAAATATAAGAACTTAATCCTTTACAATAGGTATTTTTCATCTGAGTTCCACTAATTTCAGCTTAATTTTAACTTTGCTTTTTATTCATCAATATTTAGATATATAAGTAATTATATATTTAGTAATATTTTGATATTTATTAATATACAGATTTTTATTAATATTTAGATGAAATACTCTCAGCAGCTGGAGAAGAGTTTAGCTGGGACCTAGTTAAATGTTTTTTTATTGAATATTTGACCAGTATCATCATTACGGTTGCGAACCTTGCTCTACCCATACTCTTCAACTTTATCATTAGGATGGAAAAAGTAGGTTTTTTTATTGAATATTTGACCAGTATCATCATTACTGTTGCGAACCTTGCTCTACCCATACTCTTCAACTATATCATTAGGATGGAAAAAGTAGGTTTTTTTAGGAAGGAGTCTTTGGTTTGAAAGGGGATTTTTTGAGACCTTAAGATTGAATTTAAATGGAGCCTTCATTTACAGAGCATGGCATGTTCAGTTCACAGCGGTTTCATATAAAACTTTGACAATTTCCTTTCTTATCTTTGCTTCATAAATGGGGTCGAAGGGTACTGTCGTGAATCGAGCATACCATATTTGATATTTCAAACTTTGATTATTTGATCTTACAGAATTCATAGTTTGAAATATCCTTAGTCTACGACATTGGGTTGCAATTCCTTTAAAAGCCAGAGTTCCTTAGGAATGGTCTACAGGCCGGGGAATATACTTCAATGGGAAACTCANTTTTAATTTCAAACCCCCCCCCCTCTCTTTTTAAAAACCAGTCCAAATAAAATTTGTTGTTTATTATAGTACAGTCCGAAGGTTGATCTCCTGGTAAACCTAATGAGAAGTATCACACTAAGGTATATGTACGTTGTGTACGTACGTTCTACACTCTACAGTTTAACATTTTTTAAAGAATTTTACAAGCATTTGTCCTATTCTACTGATTAAATTAAAAAATAAATAAATTAAAGTTAAGATGAAATGGTTAAGTGAGTTTATTAATGATTTCAAAAATATGCTTTAAAAATATTTTATTTTCTATATGTAATGTATATATATATTTGAGTTTATTTGATTTGGTTTGATTTGATTCTCAATTGTACACTTCCTTTACGAGACAAACAATGGCCTAAAACTAGTCATCTATCTCTACTCATGGTGCTGTAGAAATCCACAAGTGTACAAAAACACTTCTTTACTGTTTTGAGTCGGTTTAATGTAGCATTGTGAATTGTTATCGGATCTCTTTAGATAAAATTATGTTAATTGTCTCTTTAATAAATACTCTCGTTTCAGGATTGCATCCTTGGTTCTAACAATAGCTGCTCAATACCAACTTAATAAGTAAATATTTCAAGAAATTTCTTTGCACAATGTTTTTAAGGGATTGCAATGTGACATTGCAACCCTGGTTTCAGGATTGGATGTGACATTGCGACCCTGGTTTCAGGATTGCTATGTGACATTGCAACCCTGGTTTCAGGATTGGATGTGACATTNCTGGTTTCAGATTTGTCATGTGACATTGCAACCCTGGTTTCGGGATTGCAATAACCCTGGTTTCAGGATTAGAATTAGAAAATTAGAAAATTAGATTAGAAAATTTAAGTTTGTGGCAAGATACTTGAGGACCCAAACAGGTCCTGGAAGCTTTGTCAATGTAATATTCGCTCAAATATTAACAAACCTGCTGAAGAGATAAATAGTATATGTATAATTTTCAATTCTTATAGTTGTGATTACGCTTGTATTGGTGACGTAATATCCGGCTCAACCTTACAGGCCTGTTCAAATTCTAACCTAGGTATTTATTGAGTAGTTAGTTAGTTAGGGAGGGAGGGAGGGAGATACGTTATAAACCCGGAACCGCATAAGAGCAAAATTAACAAATCTACGAAACCAGCAGATCTTATTCAGAACCGAACATATCTCATTTGGAACCCAACAGATACTATTTAGAGCCTAACAGATCTTATTCGGAACCCAACATTTCTTATTTGGAACCTATACAGATAGATCTTTTTCGAACCTCAGAAGATTTAATTCAGAACCTAACAGATATCATTCGGAACCCAACAGATCTTATTTGGAACCCAACAGAATATATTCCGAACCCAACAGTTCTTATTAGGAATCAAACAGATCTTATTCCGAACCTAACAGATCTCATTTGGAACCCAACAGATCTTATTCAAAACCTCACAGATCTTATTCCGAACCCAACAGATCTTATTCAGAACATAACAAAACGTACTCGGAACCTAACTAATCTTATTCCGAACCCAACAGATCTTATTCCGAACCCAACAGATCTTATTCGGGATCTAAAAGATCTTATTCGGAACCCAACAACAAAATAATACATTTTATTTCAATTTACTCCCACCTTGAATAATTCACTAAATTTTCTCAACTGTGGGCAAAAAAAAATTCGTTAATGTGCGCTATAATTTTAGAAGCTTTAATTTTTTTGTTTTTCGTGTGGAATGTTCAGGTTAAAGGGAAATCTTCATTTTTAAGTATATTTCTGATATTTTCTCAAAAAATTAATTGTTTAACATTTATGCATTATTTTAGAATTATAGATTACATCAAGAATTTACATCTATTAATTAGCTGCCTTTATTTACGTTTTAAAACATGTTCTAGTCATTTCACAAGCAAATGTTGTATTTATTTGCAATTAATTTTTTTCAATTTCTTTCATAGTCTTGTTCATACATTTTCAGAATTTTCATATACCATTATATCGTTGAAACCTGATGTTGTAGACCTAGTAAGCTCCGACGTTTCAAACTTAGATTATTCAATCCGACAGATTTCATAGTTTGAAATATCTAAGGTCTTCGACATTGTGTTGCAAAGATATATGGATTAGCAAATCTGAGTTCGTGGTAGAGACTCCATTCCTTCTCTTGAAATATCAATTGACATCAAACTTTTTTCTACGGACTAAATCCGTAATTCTCTCCCTCCCTCCTTGAAGTCTTGCCAACTACAGAGGTTTCCTTATAAAAAAGCTTTAGATATTTAAAGATATTAAAAAGGTGGTTTAGACCTTTACATAGAATATCCCGCCCTAAGGTAAAGTCCTGTCCGAATACAAAAAAGGCCGGATGGCCTATGTTGGTATGCTTCATAACTTTTATGATTATTGAGCTACGGGTTTAAAATTTTACATATTAAAAAGAAAATCTTAAGAAATGTGTACATGCTAATTTTATTGAAAATGAAAAAGAATTGCAATTGCAAATTGTGTTATTTGTAAATTTTCTTAATCCAGACATACCTGGGCTCTGTAAGAGAGGAATATGTTGGGAGAATTCTGTAGGAGCTCAATATTTTAAACTAACCCTGCTGGATTTTATTGTTCAGCTAGTTCTCATGGTGGTTGATCTAGCCAGGTATTTAACAACGTTTTAAATTTTTTTAAAATGTATGAAAACTCGACAAACGGTTTAAAACGTTAAAAAATGTGTTTCTATTCATGACTACAAAAAGTCATTCATTTCTTTGCAACTAAAATATCAAGAAACTTTTGTCTCGCCCCCTCCCCTCCCCCCCCCCCCTGTTCATTTTGTTTTCTTGAAATATCTAAGTATCACTGAGGAAGATATCTTCGTTTTTATCTTAAAACTTCAAGCAATTTCCTTTATTGTCTCTGTATCAGAACCCTGACAATTCCCTTCAAAGAGAACCCGTAATTAAAATCAATCCATTATTCTAAAAATGAAGAAGTTTCTTTTTTATGGTTCAGACAAAGGTTAAAAGGGTACCGTTGTGATGAGAACATGCCACTCTGTACATACGGGGTCACTTGAAATTATGTTTACAATTACAGCCCTTTTTGGAGTAGTAGTGCATTGTACAATGTACATAATACATTGTGTTTTCATCTTGTTTCTATAGATCCAAGTGCTGTGCAGGAAATATAAGCTTTGATGTTACCAAACATGTTCTAGATATAGTTTACAGGTACATAAACATATTCTAGATATAGTTTACAGGTATATAAACATATTCTAGATATAGTTTACAGGTATATAAACAAGTTAAAGTAACATAAGAAGTGAGACTGCTAGAAACATATATTTTTGTTGAATTACAACGGTAACCTTTAAAGCTATTTTCGTTTTTCTACCTTTTAAAGTGGTTAATACTGACAATTTATTCCATATTTCTGGAAGCAGAAATGCGTTAATCAACATCAAAGTAACTCACGATTGAAAAAAAAAACAATTTTTAAAGTTAAAAACTAGATATCTCATTTATTGTTGATCATACAAAGCTTTAAAGGGTTCCGTTGTTAATCGTACATGCAACTCTAAAAAAGGGTCACTTGCTATTACGTAGCCCTGTAAACTCCAGTACCGGACCGGCTTTTAAGCAGCAAGGGCAAGCTGTACAGAACACATATAGACTACTTAGGGCAACACGAGAAAAGTATATATTTGAATACAAATAAATGTTCATTTTGTTTTTTAGTCAAACTATTTGCTGGATGGGTCTGTTCTTTGCTCCGCTGCTCAGCTTGGTAACATTCATCAAGTTTGTTTTAATCCTCTTCATCAAGATTATTTACATCAAAACTGTGTGCACTCCTCAGGACTCATTCTACCAGGTTTTATTTACATCAGGAAATATATTATTTGTAAACATAGAACATTCAGAACAGAGAAATTGTAGAAAAAGAAGCAATATTATTTATATATATATATATATATGTTTATATAAAATATTTTCATCAATAGATTTAAAATCAACTTATAACGTGAAATGCATATGTCACATTCTCATTTTATAATCCCTATATCTTTGCAACCCAATGTCGTGACTTGCAGACCTTAGATATTTCCAACTATGAATTCTGTTGAATGAAGTAATCTAAGTTTAAAATATTAAAGATTTATACCATTAGGTTGCTAAGATTAGAATATTTAGATTTGTGGCAAAAAATCAATTCCATTGCGGTGTTTTATATTCATTGAGCTAATTAAAACCAATCATTAAGTCGTCTTCCTTTTCCAAAGTTTTATGGGTCTCCTGTATAAACATGAATTGATTCCTTCATGAAGAAATAAGCGCGCATTTGTTTTTCCAGTTAGTAAACTTTTGAATGCACGGAATGCGTTAAACACATTCTCCCGGAAAGATCTAAATAGTAAAAAGCTTGAGGATTGACCAATGAGAAAGTTAAACCATTCAAAAGTCCCCAGCTCCGGACATGTTTAGCTTCCAATAAAATGAGTTTTTAAAATATTTGTGAATGAAAGTAAAAGCATGCTGTACACAATGCATGGATCTAAAATTGTTTATATATATAGATCATACCTGGAAATCTATATATTCACCCTAAAAAATTTAAATATTAGAACTTTATGTATCTTCCATTGTCAAAAACATAATTCTGCTTTATTTACATTATGTGAACAATGCTACTTTCAAAAAGACAACAAATTTGAGTTTTGCCCGAAACTGATTTTAGTTGTTTTAGATAGAATTTCGTTCTGAACTTTTTTCTTATTTTCTCCAAATCTGCAGCCACCCTTTTTTCAAAATTATTAATTACCTTGCAGTAAAGAATTTTCTAGGGTTTTGATTAGACTCTTCCTCAGGTCCATTTTAAATAAAGTGTCAAAATTCTTTGCAGATATAAAAATTTCCCGATCTAATAATGACCTGATCCCTTTTTCGCGGATTTTTGATGATTTCTAAGTGGAATTTCATACTAAAAATTATACTTTAACTGTGTTTAGGCGTCCAGGATATCCTCGATATTCAAATATTTCCTCCTGCTCGGGTTCTGGGTCTCCGTTATACCCTTATCTCTGTTTATTGGGTATATAACACCTTCTAACAGCTGCGGACCTTTCAAATATCATACTGAGGACGGATACTACGGAGTAGTTCTAGATAAACTTGAGGTTTTTAAATATTTATATCATTTATATTTTAAATTGGAAAGAAAGGGATTATCTATAGTCTCGTCATCTTATTTATCAATAAAATAAAGACGACTTTTAGTATCAATTTTTTTTCTCTAAGAAGTTTTTAAACAGCATGGAAACACATGAACATGGAAACACATGAACATGGATACACATAAACATGGAAACACATAAACATGGATACACATAAACATGGAAACACATAAATATGGAAACACATAAACATGGAAACACATAAACATGGAAACAAAGGGAAGCTGTCAATTAACGCTTTTCTTTGTTTACTTGTAAAGGAATTGAGTCTTTGGAACAATATCAAATATTTAAACCTCAATATCTTTAGAACCCGATGTTTTAAACCCTTGATATTTCAAACTCAGATTATTTGATCTAACATAATTCACAATTTGAAATATCTAAGGTCTGCAACATTTGGTTCCAAAGATATAGTGATTAGAAAATCAGAGTTTGTAGCAAAGACTCAATTCCTTTGTAGTTCAAAAACATTACTTGTTAGAAATCAAAAATTAAACAGGAAAGTCGTCTTCGTTGCATTGATATAAAAATAAAAATCTGCAGTTATTTACCACTCAATTGGTCAAATTTACATTGTATATGTAATACAATTTATATTAAATTCAAAATAACAGCCTAACGAAAAGCGTTTCGTTTGTCGCATTAAAAAAGATTGAGTTTAATGTGGGATAAAAGTTAAAGGATATCAAACATAAATCATTAATGTTTCTTTTAATTAAAGCATCAGTTCTATAAATCATATCATTTTTAGAAGATAAGCTGGGCCCCAGCACAGAATATCTTATACCTGCTCGGACAAATGACTACATTGTATCTCATTTTTTCAGGTCACATTCCTTCATCTTACGGATTTCATTTATAAAGGATGTTTTGTTGAATTTATTCTAGTTATTTTTAGATAAAACTTTGCTTGTATCTATATACTTTTACTAGGATAGGATCTGTCACAATAGAAATATATATTCCGGAGAAAACTAGTTTTTTTATGAATATATATACTTTGCTTGTCTGCCTGTCTGTTTGTTTGTTTGTTTGTACCCAATAAGCGTCAAAACGGCTGAACCGATTTGGCAAAACATTTTGTGGGACCTCGCACGACCTCAGAGTAGGTTTATTGATGATCCATTTTTGAAAATCCACAATTTTTTTTTATAAAATCCGCGAAATATTTTTTTTGTTTTACAATGTGTACAAAGTGAAAATGTTCACAATTGAAACTAAAGATGGGCGCGAAGCGCCCCGTAAGCCTAGTACTATAAAAAAGATAATGCAATAATATCATTAAAAACTAAAAAGTTTATAAGATTTTTTCTATCCTTTAAATTTTGCATTTTGTGGATTTTTTTTTTTGTACTATCAACAATACAAGTTCGATGACACAATACAAGAAACTCACTTTGACAAAAGGTAAAAATAAGTCATATATTTTTGTTTAATCAGGTGTATTGCTGTTGATCTACTACTATTATGCTCAAGCAACAGCTCAGGGGGATCTCTGCACTAGGATTGAGAAGGAACTCAATCAGATCTCTATGCAAAAAAAGTAAAATGATATTTCAGAATTTTGTTTAGCAAATTTATGCAGTTTATACTTGCTCACCCTTTTTTCGTTCAATAATCTTCATCAATTACACCTAAATCATCTAAATTTCTAAAACATCTAAATTATCCAAATGATCTAAATTATCGAAAATATCCTGATTAGAAATAGAAATAGAAAAATCAATTCCAGTTGAAAAATAAAGACGACGAGATTTTGTCCTGTCTCTCACTATACCATTATTTAGGGAGCTAGTGAGTCGTATTTCTGAAGAAACAGCTCGGCGGCTTATCCAGTAACTAGAGTTATCATGCTGGATGTGACTTCTTTGTCTTTTATTGTCCACTGAGCACTACAATATCTGCAGTACACACCGAAAGCTTAGTTTAGGGTGTTTTGCTCCAAGCGGGATTATTTCGTAACTATGATTTTGTAGTATCACATTTAAAACATTTAACACCAAGAACTACTAGTCTCGAAAATTCCAATATGTGGTCTACCTTTTTTTACCTTAAACATTGGCGGAGATATTAGGAAATTTGTCTAGATCATTAAAAATCAACAAAACTGTTTACATCATTAATATCTCCCTCAATTTTAAAGATAAAAAGAAGGTAGACCGCGTTTTTGAAAGCTCATTAGACAATCAGGCTTTTTTAGGCTCTTTATGTCATTTATCAATAATCGGATTCAAAGACGATATTTAACTCGGCTCTCAATTCCCATGTTTATTAGGACACTGTTTAATAATCTATAGTGATTTAACAATATTTATCATAAATATACAATAATATGCATATAGTTTTATAATTGAGGTTGAAGACCTGCTATTTTACTTCGAGCTGAGAAATAAAGGGATTGTTCAGATGTTTAAGTAAATTCGGAGGTACCAATTATTTAACGGAGCTATTTATTTAAATAGATTGTCAAGTACAATAAATGGCAACGCAGAATGATTACACTTTCAGTTACAGCAGTATCTGTACTTGGCAATCTATTTGTTTAAATTTTACCAGGCTAGGTACATTGGATTGCTTAAATTAAAATTTTGCCCGTTTTGGTCTAAAATTAAAAAATTCTTTAAAAACATGCAGAATTGTACTTTTTTAAGTTTAAGTTTAAGTTTAAGTTTAAAGGAAAAAATGAGAAAAATTTATGTTTATATTTAAAATAATATGAATGAAAAATCAAAATATGGCCGAGGATTTCCCGATATAGACAGGATGTACTGTACCTAGAATAGGACATGACTTTCTTTAAACGAAATTACGTTATAGTCTCTTTAAGTACGGTGTTGGCTTACAAAGAATGCAACTTTAATCCACGACCGTAAACATTTTGAATATATTGATCTGAAGATCATCTTCACAGAATAGCCCTAATAGCCATTTACAAAATGCTCTCAAAAATATCACGGATATTAAGAATTTAGTGTAAATATCACTTAATCAAATAAAACATAGAAAGTACGAATTATTGATTGTTAATAAATTACTTATTTATTTAATTAATCATTTTCGTAGATTAGTTTAGAGCTAGGAGCTCTAGTAATATGAATATCGAGATTAATGCTTGTTAATCTACATGTATTAATTTAATCTTTATAGGTAAGCGTAGCTAGCCAGGGGTTAAAGGGAGCTTTGGTCAAGGGTGGAGAAATGAAGAGATTAGGTTCATAAACATGTTTGTAATAACATATATAACCCTCTGTTCCAACCCTCCCGCTGAGTACCCTCCATTTCCTTTATACCTCTTCACCACCTCCTTACCTTCTTCCTGACTTATGAAAAGTATTATGCTTAAAATGTACAATGCATAGTGTACATACAATTATTATTCGATAATAATGTGCCAACCTACTCCGGTTACGCGGGTCCAAACTACATAATATTGTGATTTTTTTATTTGTATTATCTCGCGCTTTGTGATTGAAACTTTTTTTTAGATATCAGGATAAAGAGTATTCAACACAATAGTTTCCAGCTCAGGGCACATAAAACTACAACAAAGTACTTCCTGTCTGTATCGGAATATTTTCAGTCATATTTTAATATCTAAGTACAAAAAGGTTCTACAAAGTACTTCCTGTCTGTATCGGAATATTTTCAGTCATATTTTAATATCTAAGTACAAAAAGGTTCTATAAAGTACTTCCTGTCTGTATCAGAATATTTTCAGTCATATTTTAATATCTAAGTACAAAAAGGTTCTACAAAGTACTTCCTGTCTGTATCGGAATATTTTCAGTCATATTTTAATATCTAAGTACAAAAAGGTTCTANCTTGATATTAATCAGACTGTTTATTATATTCATTTTCAGACCTATCTTGATATTAATCAGACTGTTTATTATATTCATTTCCAGACCTACCTTGCTATTAATCAGACTGTTTATTATATTCATTTTCAGACCTAGCTTGATATTAATCAGACTGTTTATTATATTCATTTCTAGACCTAGCTTAATATCAATCAGACTGTTTATTATATTCATTTCTAGACCTAGCTTGATATTAATCAGACTGTTTATTATATTCATTTCCAGACCTAGCTTGATATTAATCAGACTGTTTATTATATTCATTTTCAGACCTAGCTTGATATCAATCAGACTGTTTATTATATTCATTTTCAGACCTAGCTTGATATCAATCAGACTTTTTATTATATTCATTTCTAGACCTAACTTGTCATTAATCAGACCATGTTTATTATATTCATTTCCAGACCTAGGTTGATATTAATGAGACCATATTTATTATATTCATTTTCAGACCTAGCTTGATATTAATCAGACCTAAATTTATTATATTCATTTTCAGACCTAGCTTGATATTAATCAGACCATGTTTATTGTATTCATTTCTAGACCTAGCTTGATATTAATCAGACCATGTTTATTATATTCATTTCCAGACCTAACTTGATATTAATCAGACCATGTTTATTATATTAATTTCCAGACCTAGTTTGATATTAATCAGACCATGTTTATTATATTCATTTCCGTACCTAGCTTGATACTGATCAGACTATGTTTATTATATTAATTTCCAGACCTAGTTTGATACTGATCAGACTATGTTTATTATATTAATTTTCAGACCTAGTTTGATATTAATCAGACCATGTTTATTATATTCATTTCCGTACCTAGCTTGATACTGATCAGACTATGTTTATTATATTAATTTCCACACCTAGCTTAATATTGATCAGACTATGTTTATTATATTAATTTTCAGACCTAGCTTGATATTAATCAGACCATGTTTATTATATTCATTTCTAACCCCAACTTTATATTAATCAGACCATGCTTATTATATTCATTTCTAGACCTAGCTTGATATTAATCAGACCATTTTTATTGTATCAATATCCACCCGGACTGAGGGAAAATAAAGGATTAACATTGTTTAGGACAATATCTATATATAAATTTGGCTTGTCTGTCTGTCTGTCTGTTTGTTTGTTTGTATCCAATAAACGTCAAAACGGCTGAACCGATCGGGCCCAAATTTGTTGTGGGACATCACGTGACCCCAGGGAAGGTTTATGAATGATCAAAATTTAAAATATTTGTCTCCATCAAGATTATCTCTTCATTAAATTTTTATTTATTATATTCATTTCCAGACCTAGCTTGATATTAATCAGACTGTATATTATATTCATTTCCAGACCTAGCTTGATATTAATCAGACTGTTTATTATATTCATTTCTAGACCTAGCTTGATATTAATCAGACCATGTTTATTATATTCATTTCTAGACCTAGCTTGATATTAATCAGACTGTTTATTATATTCATTTTCGGACCTAGCTTGATATTAATCAGACTGTTTATTATATTCTTTTTCAGACCTAGCTTGATATTAATCAGACCATGTTTTTTATTCATTTCCAGACCTAGCTTGATATGAATCAGACTGTTTATTATATTCATTTCCAGACCTAGCTTGATATTAATCAGACCATGTTTATTATATTCATTTCTAGACCTAGCTTGATATAAATCAGACCATGTTTATTTTATTCGTTTCTAGACCTAGCTTGATATTAATCAGACTGTTTATTATATTCATTTTTAAACCTAGCTTGATATTAATCAGACCATGTTTATTATAATAATTTCCAGACCTAGCTTGATAATAATCAGACCATGTTTATTATATTCATTTCTAGACCTAACTTGATATCAATCTGACCATATTTATTATATCAATATCCAACCGGACTGAGGGAAAATAAAGGATTCAAATTGTTTGGGACAATATATAACATACATAGGATCAAAAATGTTCTTTTAAGTGACCTTCCATTGATAGAGTGGTGAATCCAATACACAACTGTACCCTTTTGTCTGATCAAGTATGATTTATATGTCCATGCTTGTTTTTGAAAAAAAAAATTTTATTTGTGATTTCTCTGAAAAAGTGGCAATTGAGCATTTTCTTCCGGAACAATAGCGAACCTATCAGAATTAATCATCTAATCAAACCAGAAAAACGACGTTATCTAATACGTTATTAATTATAAAATGGTTTAAACGGTACCTTTCTGAATCGTGTATGCTCCTCTTTTAAATCCGACGACGAAGACGAGTTACTTTAATAGAAAACTAAAAAATCTCCAGTTTATCTTATCCCAAGAAACATCATTTATTTGTAAACAAAGTTATTCTTTTATTTCAGAAGACGATAAAATTGTGTGGAAATATTTTTTCATTTAATTAAAATTTGGCCTGAAAATATCCTTTTCTAACTCAAATTCGCGCGTTTTTTTACTTTTTAAATTCTAAGTAATAAATATACATTTTTAATTATTGTTTAAGATCTCACAAATCCCGTTTTCTACAGTGAAACCCTTAATAACGAATACATCGAAAGAATTCATTAAATGTCGTATTCTTCACTTTCTGATAATGGAATGTTGCAGATATTTAGTTTTTTAATTAAATGATTATATGTTATAGTATAAAACTCGTTGAAATATTGTCAAGACGACATTTGATAAATTCTTTCGATGTATTCATTATCAAGGGTTTCACTTTCTCCTTACCCTGTACAGAGTACAGTTACACTGTACATCAAAGTTTTTTCTTGAAAATTTACCATTTTTAGGAAAAAGAAACGGTTCGGACTGTTTCTTCTGTTTTATGGGTCCCACTGTTCGAAGATTTTTTATTGGTTTCTACAGTGATAACAATAAATGTCTGTAATAGGAAGACGACTTTTAAACTCAACTTATGATTTTAAATAGTCCATGGGTTATGAAACACAGTTATTAGTATATGCTTTGTAACAGCATCATATACAGGTAACTATTACTTCAATGTCGTCTTCCTATTCCACAGTTTTCTGGTTCTAACTATAGAATTTAGTTGAATACTTCAATATATTTTTGATCATTTCACAATTCAAGTTTTTCTATTTTCAGGTTTATGGTTTTCTTTAGTATTCAATAAACTAAATCGATATTTTTATTAAATTTAATTTTCAGAGACCTGCTGAGGGTTGTTCATTACCTTCGAACAAGTTTCACTCGCTTGGTTCGACTTATTTTCATTAACATACACCTCGTTACCCAAAAGACAGGTACATGGTGTCCCATGAAACATGACAGTTGGTGAATAGTTTAAAATGTCTTCTTCCATAATAAGTTATTTGATATTAAAGAAAATGATAAACAAAATACTCAATGCCAGTCATATTATAGCTAATTTGGATTTCAAAGGAAAATGTATTTGTGTAAAAGATTTCTTTAAATAAACAGCAAAAAGTCTTTAACATCTAATACAGTATATGGAAGAAGACATTCAAAACTATTCACAAACTGTCATGTTTCATGGGACACCCTGTAGCTTTATTATTGGTTTAATGCACCAGAGGTAAACCGGTTTACAGCTGCATTTTCGGGTCCGTGGAGACACATCGGATAGAAAATAGAAGCTGAACATTTGCTACTAACTCTAATTTACTGCACCAGAGGTAAACCGGTTTACAGCTGCATTTTCGGGTCCGTGGAGACACATCGGATAGAAAATAGAAGCTGAACATTTGCAACTAACTCTAATTTTCTAAATCATATATCTTTGACCTTTATCTTTGCATCCTGATGGTGTAAACCTTAGACCTAAAAAATTATAGTTTTGAATATTCAGGGTCTTGGACAATCGACATATATCAGGTTGCAAAGATGTACGGATTAGAAAATTATAATTTTCGGCAAGTTTCCTTTATTTATAATATAATTATGGTTTATTCTGCAACCTCTTGTTTTTTTGTAATTCCTCCTTTAAAGTAATTAATGTTCAAAAAATAAGAATGTAAAATGTAGAACGGAGAATATCAAGATAGAATGAGTAGACGGAAGAAACCTGTTCTCCAACCCTGTTCTTGAAGATGAGAAAATATGGTCTAGTAATTTTGTTCACACTCTCATCACTTTCAGGTTTTCATTCTCATTTTCATATTCCTTTCCTCTTCTATTCTCTAATCCCTCCAGTCTCCTCCCTTCTTTACTAGACCTTCCCTCCATTATCTTTCCCTCTTCCCTGTTACCTCCAGTACATCTCCTCTTCTCCAGTCCCTCCCTCCAGTATCCTCTCCTCTTCCCTAGTTCCTCCCTCCAGTATCCTCACCTCTTCTCCAGTCCCTCCCTCCATTATCCTCCCCTCTTCTCCAGTCCCTCCATTATCCTCTCTTCTTCTCCAGTCCTCCCCTCCATTATCCTCCCCTCTTCTCCAGTCCCTATCTTTAGTATCCTTCCCTTTTCTTTAGTCCCTCCTTCCAGTATACTTCCGTCTTCTCTAGTACCTCACTTCTGTATCCTCCCCCCCCCTCCCTCCAGTGTTATGTTCTTTTTCCTTTTCTCTCCCTCCTGTATCCTTCCCTCTTCTCTAGTCCCTCCAGTATCCTCTCCTCTTCTCTAGTCCCTCCCTCCAATCTCCTCCCCTCTTCTCTAGTCCCTACCTCCATTATCCTCTCCTCTTTTCCAAACCCCCCCTCCAGTATTATCCCCTCTTCTCAAGTCCCTACCTCCATTATCCTCCCCTCTTCTCTAGTCTCCTCTACTCCTTCAGTATACCTCCCATTCTCCTTCTGCCTTGTTTATATTTAAAGATAAATAATATTAAACTTTATTTTTTCTCACTTAACCCGGGGCCGGTATTCAGAAAAGGTCAGGATGCAGAATACAGAACTAAATAACTAAATAATTCGTTATTATATTTTATTGTCTAATTTGCTCGAGATGGTAACTTTTAAATAAGAAAAATTTATTCTCTCCTTTCTCAATGGTCGAAAGGTGATCAATGATGAATTAGTTTCCAGCTTTGGTTAAAGATTTACAACAGTACCCTTGAGAGCTTTGTCTTATCAAGTATGAATTAGAATTCAATGTTTTTGTTTCTTTAAACTATTTCTCTGCGAAAGTGACTTGCGCATTTCTTGATTATAAGAAGCAATGGAGAAACTCACAGAAATAAACACTTTTCTAGTCAGGAAAACGATGGTATCTGTCACATTAAGGTATCAAGGATACCTTTGTAAATCGGGCATTGCCATCTTTGCATGGTCATTATGCTTACACTCCCTTTAAAATATATAAATTATGAATGCTAGGCATGGAGAACAATATGATGGAAAGCCTAAACAACAAAACTTTACAATTGGAGAAAATAGAAATAAAAGGAGAAAAGCCATCTTTTCAAGTGTCAGGTTTGTATCAATAAAACTCTAAAAACAGAAACAGAAACAGAATAAAAAAACAGAATTATTGCAATCAAATATAAGAAAAAAGTTCTGGTCAACCTATTATATCTGTATTTAGAATAATATAAGCTGGACCCTAACACCTTAGCAAGCAGGTTTGGGGTTAACTTATATTCCTGCATTTAGAAGAGTATAAGCAGGAAAGGAGTTTTAAGTCAGCAGGTCGGAAGGTCAAACTCAACCTATAAATTTTTATTTACATAAGCTGGAATAGAGTAGGTTACTGAGTCAGCTAGTCGCATGGTCAATCTGTATATCTGTATTTAAACGAGCCGAAATGGAGCTGGTCACTTTGTAAGCAGGTCAAAGGGTCAACCTATATACCTGTATTTAGATAGAATGGAGTTTGTCATTAAGTGAACAGGTTGGAAGGTAAACTTATGTATCTATATGTATAAGAGTAAAAGCTTTAAAGGAGAAGGTCACCATGGAAGCAGGTCTGAAGGTCAACCTATATATTTGTATTTAGAAGAGTATAAGCTGAAAAGGAGTAGGACCGCAGGTCGGAGGGTCAAACTATTTATCTTTATTTAGAAGGATATAAGCTGAAAAGGAGTAGGTCAGCAGGTCTGAAGGTCAACCTAAATATTTTTATTTATAGATGAGTACAAGCTGGAAAGGAGTAGGTCACTAGGTGAGCAGGTCTAAAGGTCAACCTATATATAAACCTGTATTTAGACGGTTATAAGCTTGAATGGAGCAGTGGGAAACTAATTCTCCAGATCCAAGTTCTTTCAACGACAAATATATCTGTATCATGGAGATTAGCATACTTACAGGTGAATATATTATATACTAGACTTTTAGGGCACTTCGCGCCCCCTTTCCTGTAAATAATTTTATTGGTTGACTGTTGCTCTGAAAGTGACCATTTTTGATAATTTTTAAATTTTTCCGGATTTTTATTTTCAAATTCGCGCATTTTCAAAAAAAAATCAAACTATTTTCCAGGAATTTTTTCCAATTTTGATATTCACAAAACCTTCCAAGGGGTCATATGAGGTCCCACACAAAATTTGGGCCCGATCGGTTCAGTCGTTTTGACGTTTATTGTATACAACCGGACAAACAGACAAGCAAAGTATATATAGAGATTGTGCTGTTTCTCAGTTTCAAACAAATATTTCCCGGCACATTGTCTAGAAAGAAAAAATTAGGACTTTTTCTTCTTGATTATATGCAAGGACGACTGGAAACAGTGAAAAAATTAATTAATGAAGTGTTAAGAAGTTAAAAGAAGGAGAGTATACCTTGGGTTTGGGTTCAATCCTTACTCCGCACGGGTTCTATCCCTAATCTGGGCTCTATAACGTTACTCCAGTTTCTTATTCACAATCTATCCATACTCCGGGTTCTATCAATACTATTGAATATATCCCTATAATACGCCTGTTCATTTCTCTACTCCGGGTTCCATTCCTACTCCAAGTTCTAACCCTACTACGGGTTCTACTTCTGATTACATTTGGCCCTTCTCTGGTTCTGTACATTTGGTTCTATCCTAAATCCAGGTTCTAACACTACTGTGGAATCCATTTCTCTCGCACTATCCTAACTCCTGGTTTATTCCATTTCGAAACTCTATTCCTAATCTTGGTTCAATTTTTACTTCAGGTTCGAATCCTACCTCTGCACATTCCCTATAGTTTGTCTATTTGTATTCCCAAGTATAATGTTCCTACCCCACCTTTATTCTCTAACTCAATTTACATCTAAGATTGTGCTTTTAACCCTAAATTATCTAGATCAATATAAATCTAAATGTATTCTATATTTATCTTTAGAAAACAACCCATTCCAGTTTACTGCCGAGAAAAACAAACAAAATCAAGAAAAAAGGAACAATAGGTAAAAAGATCAAGAAAGATACACTAGGAAGCAAGATTGTATATTAAGGTTGGTTAATCTGGATGCGCTCCAATGTACGGAAAATGTCGTCTTCTGAGATAGATAGATAAAAAACTCATATGACGTCAGTGATTATAGAGGCGAGAGTGACGTCATATGAGGTTTTTATCTATCTATCCATCCTAGGAGACGACATTGGAGCGCATCTAGAGTAACCAACCTTAATATACAATCTTGTTAGGAAGTAAGGAACCAACATGACTTTGGCTGGGAAGAATATGAACAAACTCAAACCTACCTAGAGTGAGAACCAGAAAACTTTGCAATAGTAAGACGACTTTTAGACTCAAGCTATGACTTTAAATAGTCTAATGACCATAAGATACAACAATTTTGCAGTATGAACAGACCAATTTACTTAACAAGTGATTTTATAAGTTACTAGTAAAACTATATTTGCTTTGTAAAAACATCAAACACACTTAATTCTTGCTTTTATGTCGTCTTCCTATTTCACAGTTGTCTGGTACTCACTGTACTACTCAATTTGTCTAAATTCCTCTCTGAACTTCCTGAACGCTATAAAAGATTAAGTGGTTTATTTTCTTGATTGAGCATTGTTATTTTTTATTCAAAGTGATTATTGCGATATCTTCTTCACAGACTTTTTTATGTTGCTAAAAATATTCTTAGATTGAGACCATTACTTATCAGCAATATTCTTAACAGCTTATCACAGGATTTTCTCCCACTTCTAAACCCAAGAACAAACCTTGTAAAACAAAATACTTTTTGGCACATTAATTAAGCTGGACTGGTGCAGATAACTCCGAGTTCTTAAGTTTAAACTTCAAAAATAACTTTAACGACATCTTAAAACATTTTTAGGTAATGGGTGCATTGCTGCCCTTCCCCAACAGGTTCAATTCTTCAAGGAACATGTTTGGAAAATAGGACTCAAACTTATACCTGTACAATCACATAGATGTTTAAGGTAATAGATACAATCCCATAGATGTTTAAGGTAATAGATACAATCCCATAGATGTTTAAGGTAATAGCACAATCCCATAGATGTTTAAGGTAATAGATACAATCCCATAGATGTTTAAGGTAAAAGACACAATCCCATAGATGTTTAAGGTAATGGACACAATCCCACAGATGTTTAAGGTAATATATACAATCCCATAGATGTTATACGTAATATATACAATCCCATAGATGTTTAAGGTAATAGATACAATCCCATAGATGTTTAAGGTAATAGATACATTCCCATAGATGTTTAAGGTAATAGATAAAATCCCATAGATGTTTAAGGTAATAGCACAATCCCATAGATGTTTAAGGTAATAGATACAATCCCATAGATGTTTAAGGTAATAGACACAATCCCACAGATGTTTAAGGTAATATATACAATCCCATAGATGTTTGACGTAATATATACAATCCCATAGATGTTTAAGGTAATATATACAATCCCATAGATGTTTAACGTAATATATACAATCCCATAGATGTTTAACGTAATATATGCAATTCCATAGATGTTAAAGGTATGGATACGATCCATAGATCAAAGATTAATTAAAATAACAGATATGACACTAGATGTCGTCTTTTCAAGAATAATGTGTGCTTAGTTTACAATAATCCTGAGGCAGAAGCCCAAAGGAGTTGCGCGTAGTCGGCGTAGAGAATAACCTTATTTTATTGTAAATAAAATATTGTAAATAATATGATTATTGATCAAATTTCGAAGATGTTGAAGTATAACAACTTTATTTGAGTATTTTTACAATTTAAAGTTAAAAGAATTTTTTTTAAATCAGAAACTTGTGGAATGAATGTCGTCTATCGTTTTCTGAAGAAATGTTGCAAAGGATTTTCCAATTTGAAATTGTTGGAACTGAAATATCTGTGGAAATGTTTAAGATGTTTTTCTAAAAATTGTTCAGTTGCAACCATAGATTATTTCACTATACCAGATAGGACACTAGATGTCGTCTTTTCAAAATTTAAGGGTTTTTCGTTCACAATAACCCTGAGACAGCAGCCCAAAGGAGTTAGGCGCATTTAGCGTAGAACAGGCTCTCTCTTTGGAGCATGCACGTAATTGCTTCTGCCTTAGGGTTATTGTGAACGAAAAACCCCTAAATGTTTTGAGTTCTTTTTGAGTCAATTTTCAGTTTTGAGTTCTTTTTAAAAGATACTCGCGCATTTTTACTGCAGGAAAACGCATATGAATTATCAGAAGTAAATACTTTTAAACCTAGAAAAACGACAATATCTTCCGCAATATTGATCAGATAAAGGTTTCAAGGGTACCGTTATGAAACAGACATTGCCATCCTTGCATGAAGGGTCACTTGACATTACAATTACAGTCCCTTTAGAATGAAAAAGATAACGGCGAGAATTCCACTGTTTTTAGGTTCTCACTGTATGTTTTTCAGAGAGGTGTTCGGTAACTCTGGTAATCTAGTGGAGGGACAGTGTATTGTAAAGAATAGTTTTGGATCCAGGCTCAGGAACTTTCAAGTTCTTATCACACCACACTTACAAGGAAACCATTAAACAAACACACTTTATCTTTTTTATACTTTTCACTTTTTGAAAACATATCTAATTTGAAGTAACGCTTTATTTATAGAGGTTCATCAGCTTTTAATAATACTTGAGACAACTTAGTGTTTTTTTCTACGATTTTAGCAATATTATACATATGGGAAGTTCTACGCCGATATTTGAAAAATGGAATATATGGCATAAATCATGAAACTCTGTGAGAGATTTTTTAACAGTTTTATTTAATAAATTTTGGCTGTTACGAAAACATTTAAAATGTTGGTTTACATTCACACAATTTTGGTTTTATTTGATAAATTGTAATCTGAACAAGATACTGTAAATCTCAGCAAAGTTTTGAACCACAAAAAGAGCAAACTTGATTTTAAAAATGGCAGAACTAGGGGTTTTTATGATAAATAGCTAAAGAATCGTTATTGTATTTATAAAATCAGGTTTTTTAAATGACGATTTTTTAAAAAGAATGTTTTATGTCGTCTTCAGATGATAAACCTAGAGCTTACAGTATCCAGAACAATTTTACCCAGGATACAGAGAGGAATGAAACCTTGATACCCTTGAATATCGAGGATATAGACGAGCTCCTGGAGGAGGGGATCGAGGAGTTCGAGATGGATAAAATATCAGCTTTTAGACTCGAGAAGGACAGGAAGGAACGGAAACGGATAAGAGAACAATACAAGGTTACATTTCTTAAAAAAAAAATTTTTTTTGATTTATTGTAAAAATAGGATCCCAGTTCTTCATTCTTTAGTCTATCCAGCAAGAGTAGAACTAAAGTAAAACTTGTTTACACAACCCCCTCTCCTTATTTCTATTCCTCCGTCCTCCTTAATATATGGATCGAGTTTTATCTGACAAAGGTTGTATAGTAAGGTTAGATACCATGCACTCGCTACATTGTACTAGAAATGTCGTCTTCATAACAATGAGCTTTAAAAATACTTATTTGACCTAACTAATTATTGTCGACATTTCTAGTACATTTGAGCACATTCAGAGTACCTAACCTTATTATTCATACAACACTAACTCCTATGAGGAGAAGAATTTGTAAAACTATTTTAGAACTACAATTTAATTGTTTGTTTTCCATTCAGGCAATTTGGTTTATAGTCGGGATGATTATACCTATGTGTATTCTACTCTACATTACACTTAGCATATCCTGCAGGTAATAATAATAATAATAACGATGATAATAACAAAGATGATGATGATGATGATGATGATGATGATGATGATGATTGATGATGATGGCATTTTTCTATATACTTTAATAAATGGAGTTTTTATATTGTTAATATTGATATATTTGGATGCAATATGAGTGAAGAGCCGTATATTAAATATTCTTGTTTAATTTGCTGATGTATGATTTCTGAAACCTTAAAAGATCTAGGAGATTGCTAGAACTTAAAACTTTCTGTTAAATAAATTGATAAGTTAGAAATGGTTGGATCAATGAACTTAAATTTTAAATGTTTAAAAAATATGACAATCTGGGCAAGTTCTAGAAAAGGGAAAATGAAAAAAATTATTCATGGCAAAATCTAAAGAATATAATGGAGAAAAGAAAATATCTAGATGGGCAGCAAGAGGAGTATAAAGAGATCAGGAGAAGGAAGGAAGAATATAAAGATCAGGAGAAGGAAGGAAGAATAAAAAGATCAGGGGAAGGAAGGAAGAATGTAAAGATCAAGAGAAGGAAGGAAGTGTAAAGGAATCAGGAGAAGGAAGAATACAAAGATCAGAAGGGAGGAAAAAAAGATCAGGAGAAGGAAGGAAGAATATAAAGATCCGGAGAGGGATGGAAGAATACAAGATCAGAATGAAGGAAGAATATAAAGATCAGGAGAAGGAAGGAAGAATGTAAATATCAGGAAAAGAAAGGAAGAATATAAAGATCAGGAGAAGGAAGAGGAAGAACATAAAGATCAGGAGAAGGAAGGAAGAATATAAAGATCAGGAGAAGGAAGAGGAAGAATAGAAAGATCAGGAGAAGGAAGGAAGAATACAAAGATCAGAAGGAAGGAAGAATACAAAGATCAGGAGAAGGAAAGAAATGTATAAAGATCAGGAGAAGGAAGGAAGAATAAAAAGATCAGGAAAAGGAAAGAAGAATGTAAAGATAAGTTAAAGGAAGAAATTATGAGAATACAATGGAGGAAGCATTATAAAAGAAATTAGTAAAGATAAGAGTAGAAAAGAAAAAAATATGGAAGACGACATTCGTATATTACATACTACAGAATAATCCTTAACTTCCAGACCATAATCTTCAAAGTCACGTAAAAAGTGTGAAAGTATGATTTTTTAACTCACAATATTTATGATGTCTATCTTAAACTTAAATCTTTATTGTTACAGACAACTTTGGGTTTTGTTTTGATTAAATAAATTCTCTTAAATATTCTTAACATGTCTATCTTAAAATAAACAGAAAACTTTGTGTTTTGTTTTCTTAACATATACGTACAAAGTTTCACATAAAAATAAAACTTTTTTTTTCAAATCAAATGTAAGGAAAAAACGGAACAAAATAGTAAAGTCAGAACCAGAAAACTTTGGAATAGGAAGACGACTTATAGACTCAAGTTATGACTTTAAATAGTCTAATGAACATTAAACTCATCAACTGCGTAGTGTAAACAGACCCATTTCACTTAATTAGTGATTTAAGAAGTATTTAAAGGGCCGTCCCATAAACATGACAGTTGGTGAATATAGTTGAAAATGTCTTCTTCCACAATTTGTTCAGTTGTTTGATACCAAAGTGGATTTAGTTTTAATAATTTTGATAATTCACATAATAGTTTCCTATGACCAGAATATGTCATTGATTTTTTATGTGAAAATGGATCCCATGTTAGGCTGTGACATCCGTCTTGTACATCTTCTATTTGAATACATTGTAAAACAATAACAAAAAAAATCATAAAATTTCATGGATTGTCAAAATTTTATTAAAAAATTGATTTCAAAGTAAACTTTATTTAAGTAAAAGATGTTTTTACAAGAAATAAACTGCAAAATGACTAATGTCTAATACAGTTTATGGAAGAAGACATTTAAAACTATGTCTTGTTTCGTGTTGGAGTAAGAATTTCCCGAACGCAAAATAATGTAAATTTAGAAAATGAATATTTAATTTATAATTTATATAAAGGGTAACCTGCTCAAGATGCGACTTTTATGACTCTTTAGATAAAGCAATTTGAAATTTGTGATATGAAAAGATAGTACCGAAAAACACAGCAAAATTCAGGTTTTTTGCGTCATAAAACAACTTTATATAACCATATGTCCATATGTAAACATGCATTTGCAGATTTTTTTACCTCATCAGGTAAGATTTTAAAAAGACGTTTTTTAAAAACCCTGTAGATATATATATATATATATCTATATCTTCTTTGCTTGTCTGTCTATCTGTTTGTTTATATCCAATAACAGCTTAAAATCGGTCTTATTTCTTTAAAGGGGGAGGCTTGCCGTAGGTATGACAGGTGAACAGAGAGTGCAGTATAAAAGAGAACAATATCTGGATTCATTGATTCGTTTTTGCAATTTATATAATTCGTACAAAAGATCGAAAGTTCGCATTTTCAAAATCACGAGGATGGAAAATTCTGGAGGCTTGCTTTCAAGATTTGATTTTTAAAAGTTATTTGATAATCCAGACAAAAAACGAAACAAAAGATACCTTAAACGCCCTAGCTTTGTAATGAAATTCAAGGAAATCCTTCGGAAACGTTTAGGATATGAATAGAATATTATAGAATCTGTTCCTAAACAACAAATTATAATTTATAATTTTTCTCTTTAATACTTTACCCTCAGTTCAACTTCTATACCGAAACAGTCACCCCTTCTCGATAGGGCACACCTGCTCCTATACCCTTTTTCATTTCGCTAACGTTAAAAATGTTTAGAAAAATTAAAAGACCAATTCTAAACTTTAAATCGTTATACTTAATAAGTTTCAGGTATACATTTAATTATTTCTTGATACCAATGTATATCTAAAACCCATGCACGCTGCCTTGTGAAAAAAAAACAGGAATCCAATTTACTTGGTTTTAACTAAAAATAATTTAAGCAAACTTTAGTTTAAATACATCAAATTAGATTAAAAAAATAATACGATCCATTTGTATTCTCTCCCTATAGTTTATTCCCTGCCCCTTCCTTTGCCTCCTTCATATTCTTTATATCTCATATACTTTCCCCCTAGTTCATTTCCCTCCTCATCCCCCCCACCAATCTCATATACTTTCCCCCTAGTTCATTTTCCCTCCTCATCCCCCCCCCATATCTCATGATTCTGTTACGGTTGTCCTGTATTAAAATTGAGTTGAGTAATGAGGACAGATTAGATCGGATTTTTCCTACTCCTTGATACACCTAGCTCAGGACAAGTACTAGGAAGATGAACAGAAATTATTATAGAATGATTGTGATCCTATTTCCTATTTACAATCGGACAGTAGGACTAGGAAGATGAACAGAAATTTTTATAAACTGATTGTGATCCTATTTCCTATTGACAACTGTACCCTTTAATACTTTATCTGATCAAGAATGGATTTGATATCATGTCTCTTTAAAGGAATTGAGTCTTTGATACAAACTCTGATTTTCTAATCCCTATATCTTTCCAACACATTTGTCGTAATCGTAGACCTAAAATATTTCAAATATTTAAATGGTAACACGGAATTTTATGAAATCATTTTAGCATTACGTACTTTTTTATATTTTTGAGATTTTTTTTTGTAAAAATAAAACTGTACGTATCATTTTCATAAAATATTTTTTTTTAATGGTAACACGCAATTTTATGTAACCATTTAATCATTTACTTATGTTGTCAGTACATAATAAAATCTGGGGGGACCTTAAACCATAGAGAATAGAATATACATTAGAGGGGAATTTACTAGAAAAAAAGTGTAAAACGGCCATTTTGTTGTTCTGTTTCCATACTGCAGGTGTACTTCACATATTTATGCTAAATAACCTTTTGGGCCCTGGAATATCATTTTATAGAAAATCTAAAATTATTGTTAAAAGAAAACCAAATTATGAAATAGGCTGGTTTCATAATTGACCAATTATCATTTCACATAGACTCTATGCCTTCCACTTTACAAACGATGATTTTCCGTTATAACTATAAATCAAATGATGTTTTTTATTCACCTAATTCATTATAAAGTTTATTTAACAGTTTAAAAAATTCGAAATTGAAATGAATAGTCTAGGGAACATACTGTATCAATGTACTCTACTGCATATAATTTGGGAACATTTACACGATTTGTACACTTTGAACTCCCTTTCAGGCTTAAAGGGACTGAAAAAATTCATACCGAGAGATTCTTAAAATTCCTCTCTAATATATATTCTATTCTCTATGCCTTAAACACAATAGATAGCAGTACAAATGTACATCTACATCTACATGTAATCTAGTTAGTTGTATAGTGTCTAGGGTATGTTAAAAAAATAGAAATAATGATAATGATTATGATAAGCTACAATGTTTTACAAAAACGTTTTTGTAAAAAATAAAAAATAATTCTCCCGGAAAATACGCCTTGTTGCTATATCATTTGATTACTGTAATGTTTGACGCCAAACTATACACTTTTAACCTAGAAAAAAGATATTCACATCATTGATCAGAAAAGATTTAAAGGTTACCGTTTTTAATTAAAAGAAAGGTAACTTAAAATCACAACTTAAGTCATGGCCTTTAAAACGCCAACATTCCTGTGTTGAAGAGAGAGAGAGAGATCCTGGCTAATGACAAAAATAATTAAATCTTCATATTTTATGAATTAAGTCAACAATATATGCATTATCTAAGAAACGAAACCTTTTATTTGTATTGCTCACAAAATCCTTCCATATCTAAAATTGCTCAAAAAGTCCTTTCGTACTTGATAAGCTCAAAGAGACACTTCATTGCTATCACTCATTAATTTTTTTTAATTTCATTGCTCAACAAGCTATTTCATATCTTTTGCTCAGTAACATCTTTAATTTTCATTGCTCTTAAAGTCCGAATTAGCCCTAGTCCAAAAATTTGGACTATCCATCCCCCCCCCTCGGGACTTTGTTATACACTAAATAAAACAAGTTTGCATAACTATATAACATAAGTTTGCATCTGATAA